TCATCGTGATACCATTGCAGAAATGTCAGTGCTGCTCTTAAGCGTTTAATTTTGTGTTGTCAAGCTTTTGGGCCCCCACCTGGCACACAATTGTTTGAACATCGGGTGCTTAGTGGCAATCTCATGCAACAAGGACCGCAATATATAAAGAAAATGGCTGTTCAGCTCCGTAATCGTGAAGCGACGGTTCTGCATCACGCGCTGCCCCACAAACTCAACAAGATCATTATTGATGGGGGACAGTCGCCCACTGCGCTCTTCATAATGGACACTTTGACGACCTTCCGAAAACTGCCTACAAAATCTGCTTACCATCACGCACCATCAACGCACCATCTGCTTACTCATGATATTCGGCCCATAGACCTGACAGAGCTGACGATGGATTTCAATTGGTGCAATGCTTTGTGCATTCAAGAACTTTATCACCGATCGAACCTCGGAGGCGGCGGGAGAAGGAATAAGAGCTTCCAATTCGGAACACTGGCTACCACGCTACGAGGTCCTGTCCGGCTGGCATATGATTGATACGTAATAGTTCTGTTACGCATGCGCAATTGACATGGCTAATTAGTTTATTTTAAAGGGGAGAACATCGGGAAACTTACTTTCTGGATGTGCCTCGTATTATCATTATTATTTGTGTCGATGTGTGAACTTTAAAAGTATGGTTTATCACTTGCAAAAACAATTCACATTGAAGGACGCCATATTCACCTTGGCTCTTGCCTGGAGAGGTGTAAAAATATTATTTAAGGCTGACGTTCATGCAAATAGGGGCTATGATCATATATGACGAAATAAGTGAAAATATTCTCTTGGTTTTAAAACAAGTCCAATGCCTGTGTCCGACATCTTGGATTTACTTACATGTTCAGAGAAGATTAGTGTTGCTGGAGGGAAGGTGCAGACTCGGATGGATAGAGACAATTATGTTCCCGCTCCCTCTCAAGATGACAACGAAATAATGGAGCATGTATTAGAAAGAGAAAGAGGGGAAGGATGAAGATAAAGACGACACAGAGAGCAAGAAGGTTAACGTGGGCAGAAGCTGACGAAGGATTGCAGACTTTTTGATTTGTTGAGAAGTGTTCATCTAAGTCAATAGAGTAGTTTTATAGTATGCACACCAAATTTTTTAATGCATTAGTTCTTACCATCACACTAAGAACTTCGTACTTTTCATGTGATTATGTGATAATAAATATGGTCATTTTATTTAATTGTATTTTTCTGAAATATAAAATTTTGTTATAAGTTTTAATTTTAAATTATCTGTACGATTTTCGATATTATTTATTTAATTGTGGCCAATAGATCAGTAACACGACTGATGAATTTCCCACGTTCCATTTCCACCAGATGGCGTCACAGCGCATGAATAAGTATGTTCTAGAAATATATTTTCAATTATTCGGAAATTTCTCTTATCTGGAATCGGCGTGATTCCGTTGCTACCGATTCAAACGAATTATGCTTTGATGTGAATATTTCAAGCATACGGAATCATGTCAACAATTACAATTATTAACGCTTTCACACTCACCTGTTAGTATTTTGCAGATGTTAAGATTTTTAACTAAAACCAAGAACCCTTTTCTTTTTTTTTCTTTCAACATTTTGGAGTTTTTAAAATACCCCGACTGCAATTCATAGTTTACTATTCTTTCATTATTTTATTAAAGAAAAATGAACCACAAATAAACCATTGTTAACGAGCAATTTCAGGAAGCGATATAAAACACTGCTAATAGGGTTATCATACTTTTTGAATATATATATATATATATATATATAATAAAATATAAACAACAATTATCGACCTCCTTTTCGAAGCAAGAATGAAGTGTTTGCTCTTAAATAACCATCTATTCATTCTGATTTTACTTTAACACGTTTTAGAAGATAAGAAACTTTTTATAGTTTTTTTGTTTTTTTGTTATTTTATGGAACTCTGTTTGTTCATCAAAGGCATTCTTGTAATTGAAATTTCCCTTTTTCTTGAAAAATATGAAGTCTGCCTTGAAAACACAAGACTAGTAATTTGATGAAGTGATTTTTAATAGTGGCTCTGTTTAGTTTGGAACAAGAGTTTCATGCAATGAATTTAAGTACTTCTTTTCAGAAAAGCCATAAAATTCTTATAGGTGATCTGATGTCTCGGTAAAAATATAAAAAAGCTTATACATTTTGATACTAATAATGTCTACGAAAGTCTAAAAAATGTAATTCCTTCATACCCTCTGTCCATATTTGGGAAGAGTATTTGAAGTCCATATTTGGGGACAATACTAGTATTTGAAGCATTAAAATACAGTGTTATTTTCTATACCAAGCGTTTTTGTATGTTGGTTAAAATATCTACAGTCATTCTCGTTTAAATCATCGAATTCTATCAGTTGCACTTTAGCTTTACAATATAGAAACAAATATTCTAATTAAAACTAGTACAAAGTTTCACATTAAAATTATTGAATTCCTCTACATATGCAAAATAATAAAATACGTACTAATTAATTTATTCTGAACTTAGTTCTAACAAAAGCGGCATTCAAATGCATTATTAATTAAAACATTTACTAATTTTATTGAACTTACGTTTAAAATAACAGTCAACTGATTTCCATACATGCCGTGCAATGCGACTTTGTGTTACACAAGGAGAAAAACTAATAATAAAAAAATCTTGTGTTTTAAATGTTAAAAAATATTGTTCTGTTTTCCTTTTATAATTACCAGAAATAGTTTTATTGAAACAGCTGATAAAAAGCGTTACTTATTAATATCGTGTAAAGTTTTCTTCGCCTTTGCTATTTATCACTATTAACCGAATGTATTTACTTTATGGAGTAATAGCTATTAAGTTTCTGAACTTTCTCCATCAACAGATTAAATTCTATGCTATATTTTTTGCAAAAGCTTAGTAACCTTCGATTACCTGCTGAGAGTATCATTTACATTCTATGAGAGTGAGCACTGCAAAGTTGTCTTAAATTTTGTGCTTCTTTCAGTGGAAGAATCTTTATGTAGAACTAACTGGTTTGGCTTCTATTTATGGCAAAACACTTGTGGGTTATATGCCTAAGGAAAGGGATGCATTTCCAAGGGAATAACATTAATTCTATGTTATACATGGAGAAAACCACAAAAACGGCAATGCAGGCAACCCCGTTCGCCAGGAATAGAGTCTAGGTCTAATTACCAGTAGTTCAGCGACGACCGCTCGGTCGTTGGTGAGAACTTTTTACAGAAAGCATAATTTTAGTTGCTTCACTCCGCCTAGGATTTTCATGTTTTTAAAGATGAAATGCGTAATTTTATTGCTTCCATCAGCACTGCACGCATCTGAATTAATTTGGTTTATTCCAGATGCCCAATTTTACTCAAATTTACTTCATCGGTATTGTCAGTTCGTCATCTGCCAATGATTATTGAAGGCCTTCAATAATAACATCGACAGTCTTCCTCTCCTACAGGCTTAGCAATTTAGTATCCAATCATTTTCTGCGATTTCGATTAGATTTACACTTTTAACTGATTTTAGACAGAACATTTTTTTAGAAAGCATTGAATGTTACACATTAATGAAGTGTTTCTCTTTGTCTTCGAGGTTTCCACCATGTGTAAAGTTAATACGAGCCAGTTTCCTTTAGAAACTCCTACACGAAGGTATTGCTTCCTCTCAGACTGATTATGCAATATTCAAATTACCAAAACAAAGCATCTTTCTTTTTTGATACTTTTTAATTTTTAACTGGCGATAATTTCTCTTAATCATGTTACATTTTAACATGCTGTCATATCGAGGAATCAGTAATCATGCCGCAGGTACTTAATAATGGCACTTAATAATGGCGAGAATAGTGTAGGTTAGGAAGATATTCCTCAATTCTTTAGCTATGTTATAGTGAAACTATGTTCTACGATTTTTTTGTTATATTCGTACAGGAGATGTCTGTATTTTGCAGACAATGACAGGGCATTAAAGTACAAATTATCCGTATCATTTCACTAAATAACAGGTATAAGAACAGTCGAGTGGTTGGTCACGTAAAGCAGTTTAGTGATAATCCGAAACATAATTTATTTACTTTCATTTAGTTTTACGCTAAAACTATTTTTTTTAAAAATTTTTTTTACTGAGAAATATCAAAACATTGTTAATCAGAAAGACAGCTGATTCTATTAAACAAGATAACACAACATATTCTTAATTTGTTTGAAAGCTACATAAAAGATATCTCTTGATTTGCTATGCTACCTCTTTATTTTTGTCTTCTTTTTCATTTTGTGCCTGGCGGGAAATGTATGTCGTGAAACTTTTAAGAGAAATTTATACAGACAATATACATAACTTTTATCTTCAGACATTTTATTTGACAGATACGCATAATTTAATATAATTATGTAAATGTGTAGCATTATGACGCATTTTAATATGATACATGTATGCAATTTATACTTTCAATCAAATTAATAGTAATGAAATAATGTATAACTACTTTGGGTTCTTGAAACCAGAAAGGAAGCATTTTGAGAAGGAATGAGATTTCTACATTAATACGTCTAAAGCTGAAAATTAAAAGCTCAAGAATAATTATAACAAAAAAATTAAATTAAGAATTTCCCTGAAAACCTAGAACAATGAAGAATTTCCACATCATTCGCGTTTTGCACAATCTCATTTATGATTGAAACATGTGCGTTTATAATGACAATGTATATAATGACACTGTTTGTAATGACAAAGTGTTTATAAGGACAGTGTGCTTATAATGACAATGTGTACTTATAATGAGAAGACAATGCTTAAAAATTCTATTTTCACTATAAACAGTCGACAATTTAAAGAACTTTTAGAAGCACCCAATGTAAATTCATCTCTTAGGGCTAAGTCAGTTGAATTAATTTATTCAATATGCAAGTTATACTTACTCCTGATTTGCATTTCTTAAAATAAAAATAACAAAATGACACGAGATAGAAAATTAGTTACTTACGTTCAATGCTCGAGGAAATGACGATACTCACAAAATGCCCTAGCACTAAAAGTAAGCAAGACCGCAACTTCGCCATTTTAATCTTACAAAGCGGCTACGAACGAAACAAATTTCCTTAGAAAAATCAGTTCCTGAATTTGATGCGTGAATGTGATTGGCTTACGCGAAGCGCGTGGGTATCTGATCGTTGTGCCCTTTTTTCAGAAACAATCCAGTTATAACCATCGTTCATCTCTTGTCCGAAATATTTTCTCTATTTAACCAACAGGTGGCGTTAAGCATTAATCTAGCTAAAGTTCCGTTTGAAAAACTAACAAACATTTCTTATAAATGAACTTCTTTTTCATTCTTTAAGATTTCAGAAAGAAAAGAAAAAGCCATTCTCTGTATTGCAAAGCTTTTTTTTTTCTTTGTTGTTGTCAAGAGAAAATATGCATGGTTACGTTTTACTTTCAATAGTATTTCTTTTCTTCACCAGCATATTTGTAGTTGTTCCACTTGAAGTTCTGTTCAGAAGTGAGTCTTTCTTAGATAAGGAAGCGAAGAGGGGAGGAAAAAAAAAGGTCGTATGCTAGTTACTTTTGATTTTTTACTTTGATTTTACTTTCACTTTGAGGAAACGAGAAAAAAAAGTTGGCAAGGGCAATTAGATGACAGCAGACGGTAATCACTACAAAATAATCATCGCTGTTTTCGTCTTTCTGTTTTATATCATGAAGTTTCATAAATTTTAGACTGACTTTCTTTCCCAATTCTGTTAATGATTTTGGATAAATGTTTATGAGAAATAAAGTAAATAGAAGTTTTTTAAAAGATGGAGAAATTCTGGTTTTATACCTAATTTTAATTGAAGCCTTATAGACTCGAAAGAGAACAGGTGTTTTTGATCCCAACGTATTCACTATTACGAAGAAAAGTCCAATATGCATGAAAAGTGTGAAAGATCTTCCTGATAACACTTGTTTTCTAAACGAGATAACAACTTTGATTGATAACAACTTTTTATTTTTAAGTTTGGCTTGGAGGCAGTTCCTATTGTTCACGCTGCAGAAATTGAGAAATGTTGCCTGTAAAAATGCTATAAATAAAGAATCACCAACATCAGTTCCGCTTTTGGCTTAATTGGCGGGTATTTCGGAAGCGATTGTCTGTTGGAAATATAAGCATTTGGATTATTTATCTTAAGGAATTAAATAATCCAGCTTTTGTGCGATGCTTGCAAGGAGAAATATCGGGCCTTCATTGCTCTGCATGGTGCATAGCATAGTAAGTCCTTAAATCGTAGATCATTGACATTAATATGTGTTTGATATGGATTTAAGATCATCTGAGAAATTCAAAGATATATCCGAATATTGTAAATATCTAACTGACAATAAATTTAGTCTGCGTGAAACAAATTTCTCAGAAGAGATCTAGGACTGCTGGTACACAATTGATTTCACTGATTCTCATAAGATGAAATTGGTGGGATTTTAATACTTGGGATCTACAGTATTTAAGTCATTAGTCCCCTTTCTTTGGATAGCTTGCACGTCACGGGATTTCGAAATGGCATATTTTCTGATTTTATAGATAAACAGAAACCGATTCAACTGCCCTTTCTTTTAACTTCCTAAATAACAATTTGCTGTACTTTTTTTATAATTGAAAACTCAGTATTTGTTGGAACTTATTTGGGGAATTATGAGTTGCTCACAGCTGCTAACAATAAAAATAAAGTTAGATGCATCTTCATTAATAAGGCTGAATGAAATTATATTTTCCTTGAAAGAGGAAAATATAATTTCAGTATATTTTGCTGTATAAAAATAGTCAGTGCTGTATAAAAATAGACAGTTTAGCTGTGGTCACATTTTGCTCTAAGTTTAAGAACTGGTTAGTAAAATTTTGGTACATAAAGTTTAATTTAAAGCGAAGATGCAGTAAGTTTTATGTATTTTGCTGGCATATGTATTATACTTAATTTAATGTTTCATAAAATATTTCATGTGTTTACAAACACGTCAAACGTTCATAAAATGCTCATGTGTTTATTTTATGTTTATCATTTCATTTCTTGAATTATGAAAACATATGTAAATAACATGATATTTTTTCTCGTGTTATACTCTACAACTGCTGCTATTGTCTCTTCTGACTGATTGATTATACTTTTGGGAAATATTCGAAATGGTTTGCTGAATTACCTGGAATGATTCAATTGTCGAAAATTTCTTTCTTAGCAAGTTTCCGAGATTATCAAATTGATTTTAACAAGCTTTTTTTTTTTTTTTTGGATCATTGGTTAGAAAATCAAAAGCCTTCCCTCTATAATTTATAGTATGACTTCCTCTTCATTAGACTATTTTCCTAATTTTGTTGCCTTGTTTATTTCTAAAGAAAGAAATTTACATTTTTTGAAGCTTTATCAGTAAATGTAGGCAACGAAGATGCTAAAGAGTTTGTCATAACTGTTGTCCTTTCTCCTCTGGTATTGGGTGTTAAGTTTGGGAACTACTGTTTTATTTATTTATTTATTTTTAGTTTGCTATTGGATATGTAAATCGCGCATACAGTTAGTTTTTTAAATACAACTATAATATGCAGTACTAAATTCTTAAGCATAATCAATGAAAGCAAGACATAATAATTAGAAATTAACTGTAGACAAATTAACAGTTAATGTTGTCTGAAATAAATGATTTTGATTCATTTTCAGTTAATTAGAAATTAGTTTAGCATATTCAAATAATGCATGCATTAACATTTAACTTACATTTCTAAATTATTCTATTTATACATTAAGAAATATTATACATCATTCATGAATCATATAATGATTGCAGTTATCAAAATATAATCAAAAGTATCAACATAGCAGTTGCTCTAAATTATATTTAAGACTTTTATTTAGGATAGAATACATGTAAAAAATATACTTATAATAAATTACGTTTATCGCATTTAAAGTACAATAATCATTCAGTTAAAGCCACTACCTTTCTTTTCTTTTAAACAATATACATTAAACTGTTTGCAGCGCTATCAATGTATATTGTTTAGGCACACATTGTTAATTATTAGGTTATCAACCTGAATTAATTTGTTTTCCAATGCCACTGAAAGTTAGAGTATATGTTATTTACGGCACAAAAATTTTAGAATAATTTAGATATTTAAATCTATTATTAGTACTAAATGGTAGAAGGTAGAATAATATTTCTATTTATTCTTTGTACAGTGTCAAGAATAAAACCGACTGCAAATCACATGTGAATTTTTATTTTCTCGTAGCTACTCAATATTAATCATTACGGCCGTGTTAAAGGTTACCAATAAATCACAGTTTTCACAAGCATCTTAAACAGTTCTTGGAAGTTATGTAACGCAGATTCAAAATGCAAATGGTTAAGATGCCATTTTGCTATCTTAGTCAGTCTGCACAATTACTATTAGTAGCTGTTGAGCAAGGAAATATCAAAGAAGAGATATCTTAGTTGAATATCCGCCGGTTATTTTTAATATGAAAAAATTCTTTGGCCTAGAAAAGGAACTGATCACAGGGGTCGGCGCTTAGCAGAAAAAAAAAATGGTGAACACATTCTAGCCCCATAATATTTCAAGTCTCATAGAGAAATATTCCTTATCAAGAGCTGAAAAGGTGTCTCAAAAATAATTACACTCGTTGCTTTTCATGCAGACTTTTTGCTTAAAATGCATGGAAAAATGTGCGAAACTTGAAGAAAAATTTTGATGCATTATCAGCCATAGGAATCGACAGGAGTGATGTCGAGGAGTCACCCTCGCTTGTTCTTCTCCCAGTTAAAAGTAGAAGGAAACTAGTCAGGTGAGATTTTTTGCATACAGGGAGCGACATCGATAACGATTTATATAATCGAAGTTCAAATGTGAGTCTTGTCCTTACACCTTAATATTCACTTAGTGAAGAGCTTTTAGAAGCCACTTAGTGGTGCACCAATTAGTCGTATCTGTCTTCTATCGCTCTAGCTTGATGGCTTTAATTAGTCCTGTCGCTCTGGGGAAAAAAGGATACATTACTTTTTTCATTTTTGGTTGTCTTTTCACCACTGTTGTTTTGGATCATGTTTAAAAACCCACACGCTACTTTCTTGATGAGTTGGAAGGTAAAAAAAGAGATGTTTCATCTCTAGTTACGGTTTTAGAAAAGCTGAGGTGTCCATCATTAGGTAATACTAGGGTTCCGTTACTGAATCTGATACGATCCGGTTTTTGGTACTCTGTTAATAATTTATGGGGGACCCAAAGACAAACTAAATTTTTCATTTTCATTCTTCATGAATGATTTTATGTATAGCTGCGGATCGAATGTTAAGTTTCTTCTGTGTCATTTGATAGGTTCTGCGATTATCATTAATTAACATTTTTCTTATAGCCGACACATTTTCTGGGATTATAGCCGACTAAGAATTTTCTGTATGTTGTTCAATCAGGAGCGAATTTTAGCCTCTTCAAAATTCTGTAAACCATCTGAATACAATAGCACAAGAAAGAGCTTCATTTTCATGTGTTAATTGTATATGTTAATATCATTGTTCTTGATTTAGTTCCACTTTTAAATCATAGAAAATCATAGCGAGATAGTGTTCTCATAACAGCTCCATTTTTCCTTCTTTCAAAAGTTTTTCCACTGTATAGAAGTCCCTTTACCCACAAATAAACATCATATTCTCTGAATTCATTAATAAATTCTTTTGAAAGCATATCACCTTTCTTCTCCTGAAATAATCTCTATTCGTAGTGGGAGAATTTATTATGAGAGAATTGTAGTGAGAGAACTTCTTTCATTACGGAGAATTTATTAAAAGCTCTATTCATTATGGAATGTTTATTAAAATCAGAAATTTTTATTATAATAATTTCTACTGATGTTCAACAGATTTTAAAATGTCGACGACTGTGTGAAGCTATATGATTTATTTTATGAAATATTTTATTCCATTTGGAGAAAACGAGAAATCCATTACTTCTGTAATTTAATGATTTTCTACAAAGAAAAAAGAATAATTCGAATTATAAGCAAAGAAACAAAATATTCTGCAAGTAAAACCTAGAAAGACAAGAGCAAAAATTTAATTTAAAATGAAAGACTGATTGATTTTGTGGGAAAGCTCTGCGGGTAGTTTTGTTTTAAATTTATTTCTCATTTTTTGTTTTATTTTTAAGCA